AACTATGCAATATTACTTGCAGAAATCTACTTTAGGAGTAAAAACTTTTGTATATGAACACAAGGACCACATAAAAAGATTTTCAAGGTCTGGTGAGATAGCTCAGCACGTAAAGGCTGTTGCTGCCTAGCTTGATGACCTGAACCCACATGGTGGAACCCACATGGTGGAAGGAGAGAAGTAACGCCCACAAGTTATCCTCTGACCTCCACATGCACACAACAGCACATACCAACTCCCCACACAAATAAATGTAAAATAAAAATTTCAAAACGATTTTTTTAAAGCACTGTTTATCACAGAGAAAAAGGAGAAACAACTACCTCTCACCCAGAAGAACAGGTAAGGAAAGAAACCATGTTTATTTATGAATGGATAACAAACAGGTAGTAAAAATCAATGAGCTACATCTACATATATGACTGGATAGATCTTGAAAATCAATTTTGAATGGGGAGAAATATCAATTTATAGAAGAAGATGCAAAGTATGGCACCTTTTTTTTTTTTTTTAATCTCCTGAACATTTTTCTGTGTTTTGTTTTGTTTTCTGTTTTTGAGAGAGGGTCTCATATACCCAAGCTAGCCTCAAATTCAAACTCATTATACAGGTAAGGATGGATTTGAACTCCTGATGCTCCTGCCTCTACCTCCCCAAGTGCTGGGATTACAGACATATACCACCGCTCTGTTTATGTGGTGTTGGGGACAAACCCAGGGCTTTCACCACACTAGGCTCCCAGTCCTCTCCTGGACAAAAAGTCAGTCTCTTCCATGTCAGAAGAGGGCATTGGATCCTCTGGAAATGGAGTTACAGGTGGCTGTTAGCCACCATGTAGGTGCTAGGAACTGAACCCAGGTCCTCTGCAAGAGCATCCAGTGCTTTTAACTGCTGAGCCATGTCTCCAGCCCCTGTTCCTGATACTTTAAAGAAGACTACGAAACACTAAGCTTCCTCATGCAGTATTTGTTTTTAGGTTTATTTTTTTAAATATTTTATTTATTATTATTTTATGTGTATGAGTATATTGCTTGCATGTATGTGAGTGTACTCATGTTGTGCAATGCCACAGAGGTCAGAAGAGGGCTTCAGATTCCCCTGGAACTGGAGTTAAGGACAGTTTGTAGCTGCCATATGGGTGCTGGGAATCAAACCCGGGTCCTCTGCATTTCCCACTATTTTTTTCTTCCTTCTGAATGCTAGGCAGGCAGCACCAAAGATTCATGAATGATATACTAAATATACTATTCTCTCTCAGTCATTTTTATTAAGAATACATTTC